AGCAGTGGGGCAGGGCGAGACGCGTGGGAACACATGTACTTGATGAGCAGAACGCTCTCCCCAAGTGCCTTGGTTTCCAGCCAAAACATTAGGATGTTGCTCTACCAACTAATCATCCTCCCTCAGACAGGAGGGAGCTGAAATAAAAAACTCGATGTTACTGTGAATGTGGGGAAAAGCCAATTAGGGCTGCAGTAATTCTCTCCAGTGAAGCTGAAAAGAGTGGAAATCCTGAGGCAGCTCCTTGAATGTCACACGAAGCCATTTCCTGGCTATTGTTCTTGGAGACGTGTAGGACCAAGATGCCTCCATTATCTCTCTTTAGCAAGATGCTTGAAGAGAAACACTTCAGGAAATGCAAATTAGAGAGGTTCCCAGCCTCCAACCAGCTTTCTTCTCCCACCCAGAGGCCATGTCTTTGCTTCCCGCTTTCTTTTGGGGTTCTTGCTCTGTGTGGAGTCCAATCACATGATTGGGTAGGAAAGCTGTCAGTCATGATATTCAGACTCTCAGACCAAATTGCTTGGTTCAAGGGGCAGGTAGATGATATGAGCAGAACCAGTGGGAGGGCTATCCTGAGATTTTCCCCCTCAGCAAAGAAAAGAGTTCTCTTTTGTCTTTGAGAAATGGCAAAGAGGGAGGCCCAGAACTGATTGCATCCCTGGAATGACAGCAAGCTTAAAGGGACAAAGCCAACATGTAGTGAACAGTGGGGGACTCATGTACATAGGAGCAGTTGACACACCCAAGCCCCAACCTCTTGGCCCAGCTCCATGCCTACCCTCCTCTGAGTAAATTGAGTGAGCCAGTGAAGTCCTTGTTTTTGCTGGAGGCAGTTTGAGCTGTGTTCTTGCTATTTTTAATCACAGCATCAACTAATGCAAATACCCCTGGTAGTTCCTGGTTGTTTCTGCAAAAAGGGCAGCCACTCGGCTAGAGAGGCAAACTCAGAGGAAAAAAATAAAAGGAAACAGATCTGAGAAAGGGTCAAAGTGAAGTTTAGCAAGTTATTGTAACAAGTTAATAGGGAAAAAGATTTAGTCTACTTAGAAAAATAAACCATTTTAAGTTTGTTTTGTTTGTTTTGTTTTGTTTTTAATCATCATGGCTGTACTCATTTGTATATAGTCTGTCCGTGTTTTAAGCAGAAATCCTCTGACTTGGTCATTTGCAGGCACCTGTCTTGGCCTAAACCTTCTACAACATTGGTGCTTCTGCAGACTTTTTTCCTCAAGTGGATTTTCACCTGACTTCTCAATCATAGGCAGATGAAATTGGTGTCTCACTGTAGGAGACAGAAACCCCATGGAGGACAGCGGTACTCAAAAAGAATTTCCAACGACCAGTATGTCCAGTCTTGGGACTCAGGGCATGAGGAAAAGTTCTCTCACTTTGTAGAGATGACACTTCCCCACCAGAAGCATGGAACCCTGAGATGTGGGCATGTAAACTAAGACCAACCATGGGTAAGATGGCCATCCAAACTAAGAGCCAGCCCTGCTCCAAGCTCCATGCCCTACTCTTCACCCTTGTAGTTTCCACAGCCACCCATATGTGTGGGTATCACTAGCCTTACCACAGATAAGGACCTAAAGCTCACTGTTAGGGAGTAGAGGATCAGACTCAAACTCAGCCCACCTGGCTCTTCTGCCACCTGCTCTGGGACTTTGCTGGGTCATGGTCCATCCCTGCCCTCCCTTGCCAGGGTCCCATCACCATATTTTCCACAGAAACACAGCAGACCATGTGCCACTCCCCCAGAGGCCACTTGCCTCAGCAGGCCAGAGTGGCAAGAATAATCTTGGAAGGCCATCAGGGAGCCCCTCAGAAACTGGCCAGGAGAGAAAACTCAGTCACTTAGGGCTATGAACCTACGAGGCAACCAATTTACAGAGACTTGTCCTTAACTTGTGCCACTGGCACGGTCTATGTGGGCAATTTGGGCCTATCAGCCTTTAAATTATAGATGGCCACATCACTCCGTCAGGCCTGCTGCAGAGCTGAGATGGAGCGGCTCAGGGTGAGTGACAGTTCCAATAAATGCATTCCT